GGGCCCCCCTCCCCAAAGACCCCCCCCGCTGACCTCTGCTGGAAGGAGCGGCGGGGGCTCCACTCGGCCTGTTTGCGGCTGAGCAGCCCGGACTGCTGGAAGGCGCGGCTGTGCAGCTCCCACTGCTGGCGCAGGCGGGCCTCCTGCTCTCGCCGCCGCACCAGCTGCTGCTCCGGGCCGAAGCGGCGGCGGCTGCCCCAGAACGGCGGGGCGGCGGGCACGGCCATGGCGGGGGGATAGGGGGCGCGGTGAGGTCACCCCGAGGCCCGGTCGCGCGTCCTGACGTCACCCGCCACGGGGCAGTTCCGGCGCTCCGAAGCCTCCGCGCTCGCCGCCTTCGATGCGAGCCTCGCCGCCGCCTGCGAGCGAACGCCTAACGGTCCAGCTCCTTCCGGTGCCGCCAGGCGTCTCCATGGCAGCACTTCCCGTCCCTCTACAGGGGCCGCCCAGTGACAAGAGGTCCCGTATCGCGCAACGGGGGCGGAGCCGAGCTGCTGGCTTAAAGAGCTAAGAAAATGGAGAGGGGGCCTCCGGGTCTCATCGCAGGCGGCTTCCGGGTACGTTCTTCGGAACCAACCGCATCTTCCCCTCCGTTCCCTGGATCGACGGAGACGCCGCCGAGGAGGAGGAGGAGGAGGAGGAGGCTGCGGAGGGGAAGCAGCAGCGCCCGGCGGGATCCTCTCGCAGCCAGGGGCTTCCGTTCCCTTTTGGAACTCCCGGGCAAAGCTTCACAACAGCCTTGCAGGGCAGCCCAGGCTGGCCTTTGGGCCCGGGGCACCCCGAGGTCACTGCCGCGGATCCTGCATGGGGAGCGGCTGCAAATCCGACCGGGGGGCTGGGCGGTGTGGAAGGAGCGATGCCCGCGGGCCCCGAGGCGCTCCTCTTCGGCCGGAGCCTCGGCCGCGGGGGCACCTGCAAGAGGCAGAGGCGCCCCTCCTTCCCGGCGGAGCTTCGGAGCGGCCAGCCGAACTGCCGCACCCATCGTCCGCAGCTGGGCTGGGGGACCCCGAAGCTTTGGCCGCCGCTCCGGACCTTCCCCTGAGCCGTAGAGCCGCGGGCAGCGCAAGAGGAAGCCGGGCTCTCCGGGGGATCCTGGCGCCCCGCTTTTCGCCCAAGGGGAGCCCAGCCCGCCTCGCCCGCCCCGGTCACCGGGGGAGCGTCAAGCGAGCCGAGGGCGGGCGAGGCGGCGCCCTGGGCGGACCGAAGCTCCCCTCCGCTGCTGCCCGCCCGCGCGCGCCCTTGCCGGTAGGCTGGCCCTGTGCCGGGCGGCTCGCCTGCCCTCTGCGGGAGGAGGCTGAGCGGCGGCGGCCCGCCTCCCTCGAGGGCGGCGATGTCCGGCTCCACCCCGACGCCGGGAGTTCTGCCGCCTGGCCCGGCGGGACGGCTGAGCTGTCGCCATGGCGCTGCTGCTGGAGTACGAGTTCCGGACGCTGCCGGCCGACAAGCAGATCGACACGGAGCCCTTCCTGGAGGCCGTCACGCACCTGCCGCCCTTCTTCGGTGAGTGGCCGCCCCGCAGTCCCGGGAGGGAGGCGCCCCGGCCGGCCGGCTTAGCGGGCTCCGAGCGGAGAAGGGAGGGAGGGAGGGAGGGAGGGGCGCCTGTCAAGTCCCCACAACAGCCCTGCAGGGGAGAGGTCGCGGCTGCGGGTGGGGGGCGAAGGGGGGCCGGGAGAGGAGGGGATCAGCCTCCCGACACCGGTTCGGCCACCCCGGGGTCTCTGCGCTCCTGTTCCAGAGGGCCGCGCATGATTGGTTTTGGAGTCCAGGCGCTGAGCCCCTGCCAAGCTGGAGCCCCTCGGGGGCCAGGAGAGGCCACTTTCCAAGCGCCCTTTGAAGCCCTCCGTCCCCGGGTCCCCCTCGGAGTCGCAAGTCCCCATCCCCGCTCGCTTTCCCCGGCAGAGGCAAAGCGGCGGCTCTTTCCAGGTGGGCCAGCGGGCCAAAAGGGGGCAGAAGCTGCCAGCTGGGCTGAAGGGAGACGCAGCCTTGGCAGACAATGTGAACCTGAGACTTTAATTCTCAAAGAAGCAGAAGGGCTGAGTCCCCTCCCCACATTCAGTTTTTCCTTTCCTTTACTCCCCTTTTACTCTCTGCTGTGGCTACATATATATAAAAGTCAAATTAAGCCCCATCTTTCATGAAGGTCTGGGCTTTGGGGCATGTGCAGAGGGCCTTTGGTTGCCTTTAACACGGTCTCCCCTGCCCCCGAGGCTCAGGGGCCCCTGGGTTAGGTCTTTCCCCCATCTCTTTCCCCAACATCAGCCCCCCCCCAAAGGGGCATCTTGCTCCCTGGCAGAGCTGAACCCCAAAGCAAGGGGGAGGCAGCCAAGAGGCTTGTGGAAAAGAGATCTCCTGGCTGTCGGCTAAGGAGCAGCTTTCATAAGGGAGGTAACTGACACCTGGAGAAATTCTGCCAGCTCTCCTGCTGTCCTTCTCTGCTTTCCACACAACCACAAAAGTCTGCAAAGGCCAGATGAAGCACTTTCACTCGGGACGCCTTCCAAGATGGCCTGGGGGGAGGGGGGAAGGGGCTCTTCACCTCAAAACACCAGCTGGGGTTCTTGGTGGACTTATGGCGCCCAAGGGGGTCAACTGAGCCTTTGGCAGGTTTACCTTAGTTCAGGGGGAGATATAACTGTCTTCCTTAGAGGGACAAAGTACCTGGAACTCGGGGGGGGGGGCAGGGTGCTCTGAGGATCCTGTGGGGGAAGCGAAGGGAGACGGTGGATTTCTCCCTTCCCTGCAACGGCCCCCCATGGAAAAATGGCCCCTCCATGGATAGGGGCAGCCTACTAGGGAAGACTGGGCACTGAGATTATACAATGCTGGTCATTCTGAGCCACCTTAGATTGAGCCCCTTCACTAGGGGCCCCTTTAAGGCTTTTCTGGGGGCTCCAGTGGCCCCACAAGACAGCAAGGAGTTTGTGTGGAGCCAAGGATTTGGCTGTTCCTCCAGATCCCACAGCAGCCCAGTTGTTCCTGTTCTTCTTGTTCCCCTGGGCATAACGGGTGAGTGACTCTGCCTAGCAAGCTGCCCCTCATCCCTTTTGGGCTTGTCAGGTGAGCCCTCCTCCCACAAAGCTGCCCCAGTGAAGGCTGCTCCCTTGGACTTGAAACCTGGGCGCCCACTGGGGGGCTTTGCCACCCCCCGATAACGGCTGAGCGATCTTGAAAGCAGGCGGCCTTTTCTGCTGGGGGCGGCTGGAGACAAGTGTCGGCTGCTCCGCCTGCTGCATCCCCAGGCCAGACTCGCTGGCTGCTCATCTCCCCCCCACCCCCGAGTGGGAAAAGCGCGCAGGGCCTGCTGGGTGTGCCAGCCTCTCCCTTCTCCCTTGTGGAATCCTCAGGGGGGCGGATTGCATCACTTGGACGCCTTCGCGCTGCTGCGCTCTCTGGTTCAGGCCAGCCCGGAGCCTCCGGATGAGCTTGATGCAGTTAAGCCCCACGCCCCCGACAGGGGCCCCCCCCCCCCCGGGGGGCGGGGCCCCCGCCACCACACCCACCCCCGGGCCCGGGGG